GGCGGCAAAATGGGTCTCCCGCCCCAGGCGCCGAAATGGCACGCTACGCCACTGCTCGAAGATTAATAGAAAATATAATATTGCCTGAAACCAATTAAATTGTATTTCTAGAACAAGGTATGTTTGATCACATTAATGATCCAAGACATTTTTTTAAACCATAGACGTCAATTAGTATAATAAAATACTACTCGTATTTTCGGTCGCAAAGAACGTGTTAGGGTATGCAAATTATTATTCACAAACAGCTTGTCTGTAACGGATAGAATCATAAGAACAATAGTGTGTTGTTAAATGAAGACCAAAGAGGAAAACATGGCGGTCAGAAGAAGCTAGATCTCGACATAAAAGTCGCAGTTCGATTCATCACGCAAAGAGAAAGAAGGAGACAAAGTGGAAGCCCAACAACGGGTTTTAATAGTAGCTTGTTTTGTTTTGTAGACCGATCTGCTATCCTGATGGCAGCTACATCCAGTCCTGGAACCAGCGTCCACATGCTGATGCAGAGAAGAAAGCATGCAGAAGTCCAAGCCGGAAGTAGTGACGAACCGATCGCGGCTCCTGGGGATCTTCGTAACTATCTTTTGTTTTTCCAAACAGCAACTGAATGTGATACACTGCTGAGTTTCTACAAAGTGTTACTGTTTCTCTGCTTTTCGTTTTAGAAAATAGTGCTGCAGTTACGAAACGTGATACAATAAGAAAAAGAAGAAAACTCCAGCCGTCCTTAAAAGAAAGACAGAAGAGGGCTTTGGATTAAACAAAGAAATGCACTCTCTATTGCCCCCATGTAGCAAAACATGTATCAGGAATTTTGGAATTTGAATTGGCTTCAAAGAAAAATATTCATTATGAATACTGTCCAAAAGGAAAATGTTAAAAGAAGAACAGCAATTTATTAAATAAATAATTAAAGTGTAGTTAACCACTAACGTAATATCATTGAAAAATCTTTTTACTAAGCAAAAACAATGTATCTTAAGATACGATTTTTTTTCTTAGTAACACATTAACATCTTTTATGACAGCAAATCGTAAGTGTATTTAAACTGTCAAAATAATGACGAATTCAAGATTTTTTATGTCAAACTTAGAATTCTAACGGATGGAATGGATGGAAAATGACATATTTAGCCAAATGGTGCAAAATTATAAAAACAGCAACAACGCAAACCGTAACACTCGTTTTACCACTTTTATGGTTTTTGCATTTACGGTGTTCTTACTTATGACGTCAGTATTGCGCACAGTATTTTGTTAAAAACACCAAATGTGGCAGATTCGTGGTGTGCATACCTTAAGCAAACACACTGGCGTTGGGTAGTTCTTCGGAAGCGGCTCGTGCGCGGATTTTTGGACTCGAAAAAATACTAGTATGCCTTTGCGTACAAATTATAATAATTTAATGTCGGAATATTTAGCACTGTATCACTATGTAAACAGCCCTCACGTTGGTAGGACATTATTTCAAAAACATTATACAACAATGTATGTAGAATCTAAAGTATAATTAATATGTAAGGTATTCCATTTAAAATAAGCAAATTGGCATAAACTGTTTATATAACCGAAAATGTCACAACTAGAAACTAACTACTGCAATAACAATGAAATAACAATTAATAATAATAGAGGAGAACCAAATTTTCTTTGTACATATTGAACTTTGAAGCAATGCAATAGACTTTGTTGTAGATAAACGTTTTTTCGACCCAAAAGAATCACCACCACCAACAATCTATCTCTAGGTGGTTTCTCGTCATTTAATCAAATAAATCAAATTCTTAAGTGTGTGTACACTGAAGAAAGAAATTTTACGAAATCGCTATAGAAGATGTAGCTATTATTTATATTTTCTATGTTCAAACCAAACCACTGATCTAAAGGCGGCGCCAGACATGCGGCATTCGGCAAGTACTGAGTAGCTGCTCGCCGAATGCCAATACGCTCTCATAGTCTGACGTCACACTATTAATTTTTGACAGACTGAATCTAAACAGTAAAATTTCCCATATATTTTACATATACGGTTTTAACTTAACAGGATTATAACTTATTTGCAGCTAAGTTATACGTAAAAAGTAAGTATATGGAATTGCCGTTGCACTTTGATTAAAATCTATCTGCAGTAGAGTTATACATTCATTTGATTCTTTCAAAAATATTGTATTTCCATTTCTGAGGTTATGTCCATGTTTGATTAATTTTTATAATAATAAAGTAAACTATGTATATGTATTGTTTTAGTGGGAACAAAGCATGTGTAATCGATAGCAAGCATTGCTGTATTTTTCAAAGATGATGGTGCTCAACTGAAAAGAGGAGAAAATTCATACGAAAGTGGGCATGTGACAAAAATGCATTTCAATCCGCAAGTACATCCAAGCATACTCAAAGGGGAAGTGGCAGCCAGTATGAAAAAACGTAATTACACGGTTGAGGTCAGTATATATTTAGTATTGTGCATATTATTTCTTAAAAATAATTTAGATTTTGCTGGATAAACGACTGATGAAGTTGATAAATTTCAAAGACAGTAGAGTTTTGAAAACCCAGTTGGTTATGTTTGGTTGCTGAGACAGAAACCTATGGACGAGGAAGAAATAATTCCAAATATTGAACGCCTTGTTCTATCGGAAGACACATGTTCGAGTAAATCAGCTTTTATAATAGACATGTGATTGGAAAGATTGCAAAACAAACAATTGGACAAAGCACAAATGCGAGTTGGTTAATCGCAGATAAGTATAGATTAACTCGCAGCAAATTTGAAACTGTGCTGTCCGCGTGCAAAAGAAACCGCTTTCCAAAATCTTTATTCAAAAATCTCCTTGAAGGGTACGATTGAAGTGGGGTTCAAGCGATTCAATGGGGCAGAGGAAATGAACCTATCGCTATTCAGTTTGTACTATTTAGCTATTTAGTTATTTGGACACCCATTGAAGTAGAATCAGTTAGAATTGCTCGAGATGATACTTGGACAGAAAATATAGAAATCCTAAAATCGTTTTACTTAACAAAATTTCTCCCCAACATTTTATAATCAATTTGAATTATTTAATTACATATTTGTTTATATGATTGGATTAAGATTATACTTATATGTAACACCATTGTACTGTATTATAATAAAATAAAAATTATATCTTTTCTGCATAATACTGTTCCACCTCTTTAACTAGGGGGTATTGCAAATTGGTAAGTGCTGCAACAACTTGAAATATAACATCTGCATGTGGCAGTAACGTCTGCATGTGGCAGTAACGTACGTGGTATGAATGATAATATATCGGCTAAAATTAAATCCCCTGGTTCAAGGTGTTTCAAGATCCCACAGTCAAGCACAATTTTTTTGTCACTAACCGAGCCCCCGTATAAACTTGACACAAAGGTGATAACACCATTCGGGACCACACCAACCAACCCTTTCCAAGTTTTGTTACGCGATGTGGATGTATATATTTCGGTGCAATCCAATATTATTCGGCAGTTAGTAAAAAACGTACTGAAACAATTGCGATTGCAAAGTTGGTTTATTTGACGCGAAGGTAAGCCATGCATCAATTGTTGAAAAGTATCTCGTGTAATACATTGTTGCAACCACGTTGGATACCGTTGCTCGAGAGACATTAAAACGAACACCCAGATCATCATGCGAAAAGTTTTGCCTGAGCTTCATCAATGTCATGAGTAGTTGGTCCCGTTTATTAAGTTTTTCAACCTTTCATGGTAAAATGTATTTAAATGGAATATTCTTCAACAAATCATACAACGTCAAAAAAATCTTTGCTGTTGGAAGACCTGTATCAGAACCAGGTGAGCGCGATCTTGAATTTTCTCAAAACAGAAACGTTCACTTAATGAATGAAGTTCTTTACTTGTTTCTAATAAATCTTGTTTTAAGAAATAGTTTTCGGCCTCTGTTGCAGCTTGCAATTGAAATTCTGCGGCTTCTTGCTTAGAAGTTGCAGGTTGTTGCAGATCATCGTCCATTGTCCCTAAACTGTCTGCACATTAGACTGCAATTAACTACAAAAAATGTAATTACCTTGTGTTAATGGAGAGCACATTTACGACTAATTCGTTTTCTCTTTTCCGGGCTAGAAAATTTCATTTTCTTGCCAATGTTAATAGTCAAATATTGTAGACCGGTTCTCTTTGTTAACATCTTCAAAGTGGCAGTTGCAAACATATTCATCTGGACCTGGTTCTTCCTTACGTCTGTAAGGTGCTAATTTATAAACTTTATACCTACATTTAAAATGATTACCTTACCGTAATAACTTTTTCCACTTATTTCTTGTTTTGTGGTCCTTAGGAAACCTAAAAAACTTGCATCTGTCCCGTACATTATAATGTTTGCAGCCCACAGCCCAACACATAACCATTTTTAACATATAAATTCAAATCCAGTGGGTTGCAGGGCTTCTTGTTATGACCACACCGATCTTATAAACACTAATAAAGCGGTTTTGAAAACTGTTGAAGTGACCAAATAATCTTTTAACTGCATCTACTACTAGTACAAACAATTTATATGCGTTACAAATTCACAAATAGTTTATAAAAATTAAATAAAACACATTTACTATACACAACACATTATCAGCTGATCGTCTTTAAATTCAGAACTTTTGACAGTAAGAAATGTGACGTCATTACTAACGGAGCGTATTAGTCGGGACGTGTCGCTTGCTGCTTGCCGATTGCCAATTTCGATGCTCGCCTCGTTCCCGTGGTGTGTCGGTATTTTGCGACGCATCAAAGTGTACGAATATTCGCCGTACTAGGGGTTACCCACTCAGCGTCAAAAATGTACCGCGGACTAAGATTGATTGGGACTAAACCGGACTAGTCGGACTAAGCGAATTCAATTGTACTAGTTACATAAGGTCGGGCTAAGACGAGCTTTGCTGGACTTAGAGCGCTATTAGCCAGGGCGACCAGTTACTCCACCGGTTGCGCAACCGGTGGAGTGACTGGTTACTCGCTGGTTTTCTGTGCCGGTCACCGGTGGAGCAACCAGGAGTGTACTGTGGAAATTTCCGCTGGAAACAGTCATCAGTAGCTACAATGGTGCTGTGTACAGAGGACGTGCTACTACTAGCTCTTCTTATCAAGAAGAGAAGGAAAAGAGTTAGGAGGTTTCGGAGGCATCCTATGCTGATGACCAGACATAGTAAAGGACTGTACTATATGTTATTTGACGATCTTTGTGCAAGTGGAAGTAAGTTTTTAAATTATTTTCGAATGTCAAAACCTTCGTTTGATGAACTGCTGGGACACATCAAAGATGATATCACTGTGCCAGAAACCCCTCTAAACAAAAGCATCCCTGCAGAAGAAAAATTGGCTCTCACATTGAGGTAAGTACAACTTTTAAAATGATTTATTTATGATTTATGAATGATTTCATGATTTATTTTAAAAAAAAAACAGAAAAATAATAACTGAATTTAACATTTAAACTTCATCATTTAACTTTTAACTTAATCATTTAAACTTAATCATAAGATTCTTAAGTAACATAGTCACTCATTTGAGAGAAACTTGGGGACACTATTGGTGTTGATTCTTCAGAGGAAGACAAGTTGGAGCCTTGTTGGTTACGTGGGGGTTGCAGAGTTGTCAAGGAAGGTGATGTAATATGCGATGGTTGATATTGTTGAGGGTTCTGGTATTGTTGAGGAGGGTTCTGATATTGTTGATGAAGGTTCTGATATTGTTGAGAGGGACTGGGATGTTGTTGAGGGGGAAACATATGCGGAAAGTTATGTGTCGGAGTTGGGACAGTAACCGGCCATTGGGGACTCGTTCCTTGTTGTGCAGCGGCTATTGCAGAAATTATGTCCGATCTCAATTTGAGTTTTCTTTGAGGGGGAACTTGCTTAATTTCGGACAGAAGAGACATCAGAAATAATTTATCCTCGTCCTGTCCAACACTTTTTTCCTTAATTTCCATTGCCATTTTTTTTAAGGTGGTCAAGAAGTCATCTTCTTCGTTTCTAGTCCTCCTCCTTGAACCACCCTGTTTCTTTCCGCTTTCTATTGTCGCTGTGGGTGTATCAAATTCGTGCTCCTCTTGTTCCGGTTCCAATTCGTTTACATCAGCTGTTGAATTATCTTCCATGCTGTTTTTTAGTTTTCTTAGAGATAGTTTCCAAAAAGCGTAGTAAGTCAAAGTACACATATTTCTTTCTTGTGGAAGCACCAGATCCGCTCTTTCTCTCTTTCTGCATGAGCAGCTCTCTTGAGTAACAAGAACGAATGTTCTTCCACTTTTTCTGTACAATCGTTACTGTAAACAAACAAAACAAAAAACAATGCAATACCAATATAATTGAATGAGCGAGCGAAATTCTCTTACGCGAAAAATAAGCGTACACCTAGTATTTTTATTACCGAAGTCTTAAAGTGTATTTATTTTTCTGGTTACAGATACTTTGCTACTGGAACATCAATGACCGATCTGCACTTTCAGTACAGAATAAGCCAGCCTACGATATCTGTGATTGTACGCCAAGTTTGCAAAGCTATTTGGAACAGAATGAGACAAATCTGCTTTCCTACATTGACAGAAGAATACTGGCTGAAAACTGCTGCCGAGTTTTATGAGAAGACGAATTTCCCTCATTGTTTGGGAGCGATTGACGGCAAACATATTCGAGTCGTAAAACCGGAAAAAAGTGGATCTCTCTACTTTAACTACAAGAACTACTTTTCCTTAATACTGCTTGCTATGTGTGACGCATCATATAAATTCATTTTTATAGACGTTGGTGCGTATGGAAAGTCATCCGATTCAACTGTGTTTAAGGAGAGTGTTTTTTTTAAAACGCTAACTGGAAACAAGATGAACATCCCCCCTCCACAACAATCATTCACAGGTTTACCAGAAACTATGCCACTGTGTTCGTCGGGGACGAAGCATTTGGCCTTTCAAAGAACTTACTCCGACCTTATGCAGGAAAAATGCTCAACGTAAAGAAAAGAGTGTTCAACTATCGTCTATGCAGAGCGCGTAGGAACATTGAGTGTTCATTTGGCATACTTGCTAACAAGTGGCGAATCTTTCACCGGCCCCTAAATGTCCATTTGAGTTTGTGTGAAGACATTGTTAAAGTCTGTTGTTTGCTCCACAACTTCGTCAGGGAAAGAGACGGGTTTAAAATAGAAGATACTCTGACAGTTGAAGGCTTGTTCGACCTAGACGCTTCAAGGGAGCAGCCCACAAAGAAGGCTACAAAACTGAGGGATAAGTTTGCTGACTACTTCATGAGTGAAAACGGTGCAGTTTCATGGCAAATGAACCGTATTTAATTGTATAAAGCTTTAAAGTATGAACAGAAAATGGTTTTTAAAAATGCTTTGATTGTACATAATGTCTGGACATGGTTATTAAACAAATACTGCTAAACACATCATGAAATTTTCATTAAACCCCGTAGGCTTAGTGATGTGGGCCGGGTAAATACTCAGCGGGTAGGTACTTATAAATTGGGTATTTACCCTCACTTTTAAATACATGGGTATTTTACATCACTACGTAGGCTAGTTCACTTAGTTAATGAAACAAGATATCACTTACACATTACGTTTTTCTCTGTCATGGGCCTTTCTTCAAAATCAGCTATGAATATCGTCAGCAATTTACTCCAGGCGTTCAGCTTCTCGGTTTTATCAGAATATAACTCCAATCTGCTGTCCCATATTACCGGAAGTTTCTCCACCTCACAAATTAGGTCTTCGGTGTTAATTTTACTATCCACAAATTTCGTCAGTTCTTTTACCGAGTCATCAGATTTATTCTGCCGTTTTTTCTTTTTTTCGCCATCCCCTTGTTCAACAGGAACACTTTGTTCATCTCGGACACGTTTGCTACTGTGGGCAGCCTCACTTTCACCAACTTCATCACGGATTTCTTCATTCTCTGTCATAAACATGATTCACAAGGTCAAGAATTCACGAGCACTAGAAGAACTGCACACCACCTGTACTTCAGTGAGTGTAGAGTGACACAATGAGGATGAGCAATGAGAGCGTCTGATTGAAGGACAGGGCGAGCGCGCGCCTGCGCATCACACACACACACACACACAGAGTCACCGGTTGCGTGGCCAGCCGCCCTGGCTAATACGCTCCGTATACTCCAATGCCCCGCGTGGTCGCCGAGTAACCCGTGGTCACTGTGCTGGTTGCAGAGCTCGGCAACCAGCTGCCGATGGATTTTGGTCGCTGAGCTGGTTGCGCGGCCGGCCACCCTGGCTAATGGGCTCCATTTGATTACATGGGCGGCAACCGACCAAACCACCGGTGGAGTGACCGGTTGCGCGGCTGGCCGCCGTGGCTAATAGGGACCTTAGTCGGACTAAATTGGATTAAGGCGAACTAAATCCGACTAAATCGTACGCGCGCGCCTCATCTTGCACTTATAGCATTCTTGTTTAGTGTTATATTGTCCGATAAATGTAAGTTTTGTTTTATTGATCGAAATTTATTTCGGCTCATGGTCTCTCTTATGATACGCACCTCTTTATCCTCATCTTTTGACCAGTACATATCAGTCTGCGGTAAACTGTAATACCCCGACAGAATAAGTACACCAATAAACCTTTTTAGGTCCGTTGAGCTGATATCAAGGTTGTGACGGTTGTTTTGAGCTGCTTAAAGGTTCGTAAAATACAAAATTTTCTCAATTACTTCCGAAAGAAAGGCGAAAAAATCTCGTAGGCAGATCTTCCACCGTCGTATTTTCGATGTTTCGACTGGTAATTGATTGAGGAACCGAGGAGTTAACAGGTGTTTCCGTTTTAGTTCAACGTGGCAAAATCTTTTGGGCGGTCGCGGTAATATTTTGAGATTCCGTCTTTGAACGTTTGGCAATCTGGATTTATAATTGCAACCTTTCAGGATACAACATTGTAGTTGTATAAGTTAAAGGCACACAATTTTCTTTAAAAAACAATATTGTTTTAGTATGTTATACAAAGTTATACAAGTTGTTTTAGGTGTCACCTTGAAGAGTAAATCTTAAATAAAATAAGTCACCGACCTTCCTAGTTTTTTGATTATCGAAAAAAATAAATTTAAAGCAAAACAATTCATAAAAAAAATTGAAATATTACACTACAGGTTGCATAAATTTAGCGGCGGAGAATATACCGTACTGGAGAATTTGGAGCGGTTAAAAAAAATAAGGAGTACTTACGGCGCTTCGCTTATTGAGCAGAACGATTTCTTAATTGTAAATGTAGAAGTTTCAACCAATTAAACACACACGACATTAGGAAATATATCTTCTCAAAACCACAAGCTTTTCACTTCTTCCTTTCGTTGTCTTCACAACACACCTTTTCCCTCCTTCCACGAACATTTTGCGTGCGCACGAAGTACAAGGACGGACACAAAACGGCAGGGAAAATCACATTATGACGAGTAATGACAAGCAATATTGGGAAATTTTTAATTTAAGGAAAACGTACGTTTATGTATGCAACACACCTATTTAATTAGAACATTTTGTATGTTTAACCAATTTTTTGCTATGATTTACATACCGTACTTCTTGCTGTTACCACATTTTAGTGCCTTACTTTGTTTCCAGTTCAAATTAAACTAAAGAGAGGTTCTAAAAGTAAATTCATCTTCGTATCCGACAGGTCACCACCTCAATAATACAATATGAAAAAGGTACGCAACATCTCCGTTTCGCTGACAAATATATTCAAAACTGGAACATTTTTGCATAAAAGATTTTTCGAATATGGTTCAAGAATTCAACAGCTGTTAACAAAAGCGCAAAAGTGAGATTTACTCAACTCTTTTTACAGTCAAATTGTATGAACTTTATGATGAATATATTTGCCGGTTTAATGGCGGGGTCTGTGAAAACATCAAAGTTTTAAATGAGAAACGCATTTGTTAAGTACAAAGAAATATGGAAATAATCATTTTCCTACAACTCAAACTTTCCAATTGCGTTCGCCGGTTTCGTGCCATTTTCACGCTTACAATATTCAATTTTCAGTGAATTTTTAATTACCTAACCGTTAATAAAGTTTGCCGTTGCTAATTTGCTGGTTGTTTGTTCAATTAGGAAATTCTCTTTTGATTGCTATACTTATTCTGCATTGTTTGGTTTTTAAAATTACGAGTGCAACTTCCAATCTGTTCTGACCTTACACTTTCGCAATAGAAGGCAAACAATAGAATTGAATTGTAAAGAAGTGGAAAATGTACACACTAGACATTGCTAACAAGTTAGATCATTTAGAAGAATTATTTGTCGTTGGAGATGACAGAGGGCAAATTGTATTACTCTCAGGGGACGAAGAATAGTAGTAGATATTAAATATCCCCAATGTATAATCTGTATGTCATAACATCGTTGAGAATCCTTTAAGTAGGAAGTAGCTAATGGACCGTTTTGCAAATTACACATACCCAATAAAAAAAGGTATTAATATTGTTGCGTAAATTAGGTCGTTTTGTTTGGTTTCAGCACCTACAGTAATGTTGGGTCACCAGGTACATTATGTATTTAATTTCATTGAGTTTTGACGCTAAATGCTGGTCGGTAACTTAGAATTTCGATATCATTTGAATTTGGTAATTGTTCATTTTAGTTAGAAATATTTATATAATGATGGGCAATTTTGTTAAATAATCGTATTGTATTTTGATTTTATTTTATTGTTCATTTAAAAAGATAAGGAGTAGTTGGAAATATTTGCCTGAAATGTATTGAAAGTTTTATCTCAGTTTATCTCCGCTCATTGCGATAAGGTTATCGTTGCGTAGATTTTCGCCGATAAGAAAACACAGATGTGTTTTTTTTTCATTCGAGAACGCTTGAATTTTGATCAAGAAGTAGAGGCGGAAGGTGAAAGAGAGATGAATGTTTTAAATAGAAGAGACGAACGTTAATCGTTGCTTCTTTGGTGGTGAACGTTAACCGTTGCTTAATGTTTTGGCTATTAGCAGTTTTGCCGTATTTGCGCGTATTAGTGCAAGACAGCCCGTCTTGCTAGTCGTAAAATGTTATAGAAGAAAGTTGAGTGCAATCAAAGAAGTGAAGTTCCGAAGTATCATCATTTGTGGCATTAATATTGCCTGGATGTCAAGTATATCCCATATAAAATAACAAAATGTTGAAATACCCACGCAGAATTTCAGCGCTATTACTGATTGAAATGAAGTTATTCGTAACTGAAAATGACTTCCAAAAGCGAAATACACTAGATTTTAACACAAACATTACTTGTTTTATTTTAACAATCATCAAACATACATGAAATTTTTTTTAAATAATCACAGCAACGTACAAGGTGCGTCAACGATTGCGCGGAGTGTGTAACGATTTTTCTTCATTACGAAGCATTATTATTGTTTACGGTTTAGTACTTGTCGGAGAACCCCCGTAAAATTTGGAGCGATTTGATAGATGGTTCCACCTACTGATGGATTTAACCACGCAAAAATGACACCACATTTTTCTGAAACCTTCATTTCTTCTTTTTCCATTAACCTTTTCGTTCGGCATGTTGGTCGAAAGTTAATGGCATGTTAATTCCCTTAAGGTGAATTGAACTTTTACATAAAAGTGTTCTATCTTTGACGATTCACCGCTTATTTGCAACTTTGAAATTGAGTTTGTTTTGATTTGCACTTATCTCGTTATTTTGAATGGGAATCGTTATCTGACGGTTGAGCCGACGTAATTTAATAATTATTACCATTTTTATTCGTATTAATTGATTTCTACTCCCTCTCATTAATTTAGAGAGGGGTTTTCCTTCTTCCGGGTATACCTCCCGCTGAACACTACCAGCCCAGCTCGAGGGTGTTAAATACCAAGGTGTTTCCGTGCGAAGATATCAATTTAATTGGGCGGAACATCTGTGTCGATCTTATCAGGGAGATGACGGCCACCTTGAAGCCATTTTACTGACCGCACCGACCATCTGAACACTTGGGCAATTAGATAACCACCCGAACGACTGGATTCACCAGACAAATTGAACCAACTAGCTAGAGGATACTTTCCGTTACTTCTGTGTGATTTATGGTCACAAGTAAAATGATTTGCAAAAGCGAACCACTTGTTTTCCACTCGAACAACTGAACTATAATTGGGATGTCTGTTTCCAGAATAGGAATGTAACTTTTGAAATTGATTCCACTTAAATCGCACAGCCCCTACAGCGGTGGTGTAAATTTGTGATAAAAATTTTAACACAAAGTGGAACGACGATTTAATTATCTACTAGGGTTTCAACAAAAATAAATTTCCTTAATTAAATAATACGGAAGAAACCAACCATGCTGTGCGAAATAATTAATTGTTTGTCGGATAACGCTGTTGTTAAAAAAGTCCTTAATCTTGAATAGAAACTTCTAACAGAAGTTCAGATTAAAAGTTGTAATAATTTGTGTATTACAGCGTTAATTTCGTTTCAAACGTTAGCTCGAGAAACACAAGCGTATTATCTTATGAAATTACGTTTAGGTCTGATGCTTCTACAGGATAACACTCCTAAAGAATACACAAAAAAACACACCACACAACTGTCTGTGCATATCACGCTCATATAGGATCATGTATACACAGATGCTAAACGTTGGATATCCCAAGATCGTCGAGTGTTCATTGATGTCTGAAACTATTACATTTAATTAGGTTTGTGATTTAATTTAGCTTGCGTTCTTTCCAAGTATGATTGGCGTACACATTCTTACTGAAGAGGTCATAAATTACTTTGCTGAGAAGCTTTAATATCTCTAAAAATAAATATTTGTAGATACAGCGAACATTAAATTTTTTCATAAAGCTTAAAGTACGTTAGATCTGTTACTGGAGTTTTAAAACACTTTTTCTTATATTTACATCTGTCGGTT